TTCACATTCCAAGAAACTTTATTTTTTTAACCTATCTTTTCCTTTACATAATTTCGATAACGCGGCTAGCTTATCGTTGGTGGGACTTATGACACAGCTGATCTCCGCGCGTGTTCACGCAGGGGCGCGAAAAAGGGCGCGTGACCAAGGCAGCCCATCACGCCGCGGCATGGTTGCGCAGTCCGGCGAGCACGAGGGCTTCCGTGCGGAGGAGTGGGGCACGCCGCCAGCGCAGCCACGCCCACCGCCTCGCCCGACACCGCCCCCGCCCTCCGCGCTTCCCGGCGTCGCGCCGCCGCCCCGGTCGCCGCGCCGGGCGCCGCCCCTGCCTATGGCACGGCGCCGTGGCCACGTCGACGAGTTCGCAGCGGGGGCGGCGTCGGTGCCAGCGCGGGACCAGCGGGGGGGCGGGGGCGGCTGCGGCGCTCCCGCGCAGCACCGCCGCGTCAAGGACAGCCGCCGCCGGAGCCGCAGCCCGCCGGGGCACGGACCGCCCACCGGCCGCGCAGCCCAGTGAGTTCTCACCCCTTACGGCACATTACTCTCAGAATTGGTACAAGACATTCAGGGATACTTTGTCTATAGAAATGTTATGGGAAATTTCGTATAAGAATGAGAGCGTTGGCATCCCGGCCAGAGTTACATAACTATTGGCTCGTGCGGGATACTCCTCTCTAAGATGCAGTGCCAACGTTTAGACTGCCATTCTGCGTCCTTCCACTTCCTGAGGAAGGCCTTCCCCGCAATTTGCCCTGAGAAAGGGCCGCCGCAATGTGCCCTAAACCGTACGCGCCTGTCCCTGAGACCCGGCGAGTTTCGGGGAAGGCACAGAAGTTATTTATTCGTAAAAACGACAGATACACTTGTTCTATTTGCCCCTGATTGGTAGCAACTTCGTATGCACATTGATGTTTCGGCTGGTACCACGAAATCAGGTGTCAGAACGGTCCCTGGTACACCTGCCAATCACCGTGTTTGGGTTGAATGGAGAGAGGGGGATAGCAGGTAGGGAGAAGCAGCAGAAAATGTAGAGAAAGGCATAATATGTTAAAATGAGAAAGAGTAAAAGAGAAAGAAAGGATGTAGCAAATGAGAGGAGGGATAAATGGATAGCGAAGAAATAGAAATGAAAGAGGAGGTGGGCAAAGAGACAAGGTAATTGAATAGCGGGTAAGCATGATGAAGGGCGAAAGACAATGTAGAGAGGAGGAATAGGACGGAAGATATTGCATGCGCTGAACACAGTTTAAAAATCATTTTTAAGCCCTGTGACGTTGATGAGATTAGAAGGAGAAGGTAGGGTAGAAAACAATGAAAAGATATGTGGTGGGAATTAGATAATAAAGAATAGAGAGCAGTGGAAGTGAGTAAAGGGAGAGAAGGGAGGGTATTGAGTAGGAAAAATTATTATTAGTGTTAACACGTCTTTTGTAAGCATGTCCTTCTCTCCCCATAAACGTTGTTAAGAGTGTATTGAAAGGTAACAAGGGAATTAGTGGGTGAGAATTATGAAGAGAGAAAAGAGATAGCTGAGAGGAGCAGAATGTCAAGATACTGGTAAGACGAAGAATGTTTAATAAGGAAGGGAGATCCTAAAAGAAGGGAAAATGCGGGCCCAGGGAGAGTGGTGAGAACTGACTCAGCAGTTGGAAAGAGGGTTAGTAGGGTAGAAAGAGGGAGACCGATAAAGAGAAAATGAGTGGAAACGAATGAAATATTGCCAGCGCTTATATTTTTGTAAGGCGCTTCTCAGAATGGAAGGAGAGAGGGAAGAAGGGAAAAAATGAATTGGGTTGGAAAAAAAAGGATGTCAGGAGGGAGAAAGGACTTAAGACTTATTTGCAAAAGTTTTGTTTGTTTGCTTCTTAGACAAACCGAATATTCCACGAAAAATAAAAGCGAAGAAGCATGCGTCTGTCACGAAGTGACAGCCACCGCTCATAGCCATAAATGCGTACGAGTCATCCGACTATTTTCATCAGACGTCTGTCAAGTGACCTGACGGTGTGGTATATAGGGGCGAAGGCCCACCTCGGCGCTCCTGGTCTTTGCCCGCTGAGATGAAACAAATCAACCTATGCGCGTTGTGCCGCAGGCCGCGGCGCCGCAGCGGCGGCGGCGGCGGAGGAGAAAGTCGTGCTGCGCCGGGGTCCGCCGCGCGCTTGGCGCGGCCCGCGCCTCCATCCCGGCCAAGACGCCGTCGACGCCCGGCGGCGCGGGGGCGGGTGGGCGCGGCGGGCCGGCGGCGCCGAGGCGGACGCGAGCCGCTGTCCGACCCCGGGGGCGCTGCTGCCGCGCGGCAGCCGCCTCTCGCCGCACTGCGCCCGCGCAGCCCCGGCGCAGCCCGGAGCAGGCGCCACCGCTCCAGGGGGGTCACGCGAGCACCCGACGCCGCCGCCCGCCCGCGGCAGCCAGGCGCCGCTAAGGTGAGACTTCCCTCGCCCATGCAGAATGTAGATGCGAGCGTTGTTGCATTCGTCTGGCTCCCTTGTGTGTGGCTGTTGGGTGGGTTGTGTGTGTGTGTGTGTGTGTCTGTACCCCTCACGCCACAGCGCTCCAGGGGATCAGTAAGCGCCGCAAAGGTGAGACTTCCCTCGTCCATGCACATTGTCGCGGCGAGTGTTGGAGCATACGTCTTGGCTCCCCTGGGTGTTGCGCCGCCGCCGCGCGGCAGGCAGGCGCCACCAAGGTGAGACTTTACTCGCCCATGCACGTATGTCGCGGCGATGGTTGGGGCATACGTCTTGGCTCCCTTGTGTGTGGCTGGAGGTTGGGGTTGTGTGTGTGTGTGTGTGTGTTTGTGTGTGTGTGTGTGTGTGTGTACCCCTCACGCCACAGCGCTCCAGGGGATCTCCATGCGCTTCCGACTCGGACACCGCGTTAGCAGTCACCACCAAGTTGAGACTT